ATCTTTACCTGGTTTGGGTATCAATGTGATGTTAACTTTATAAAATGATTTGGGGAGAGTTCCGTCTTTCTCAATCACCTGGAATACTTTCAGTAGGATTGGTATCAGTTCTTCCTTGTATGTTTTGTAGAATTCTGCTGGAAAGCCATCTGGTCCAGGACTTTTTTTTTGTAGGTAGTTTACTTATGACGTAATTGATTTCCTGGGTTGTTACTGTTTTATTTAGGGTCTCAGTTTCTTCTTGTTTCAACCTGGGGAGGTTGTGTGATATCAGAAAGTCCTCCATTTCTTTAAGGTTTTCAAGTTTGTTTCCATACAGGTGTACATAGTAATCTCTGATAATCTTTTGTATTTATTTGGGGTCAGTTTTGATTTCATCTTTTGCATTTCTGATTGTGTTTATTTGGGCTTTTAGTCTCTTTTTCTTGGTCAATCTAACTGGGGGACCATCAGTCTTGTTTATCCTTTCAAAGGACCAGTTTTTGGTTTCATTGATTTTTTTTTTTTTTTTTTTGTCTTCTGTGTCTGGAATCTGGTCTTTTATTTTGGTGATCTGGATTCTTCTGCTGAAGTTACGGTTTTGGTGGTCTTGCTTTTCCAGCTTCCTTAGGTGATTTGTTAGGTTAACTTGTGATCTTTCCATTTTCTTCATGTGTGTTCATAGAGATATGAATTCCCCTCTTAGTACTGATTTCTTGGCATCCCATGGATTTTGGTGAGATGTTTCTTCATTTTCATTTATTTCCAGGAATCTTTTAATCTCTGTTTTGATTTCCCTGTTGACCCAAGAGTTGTTGAGCATCATGATTTTAGTGTCCATGTCTTTGTGGGTTCTGGGGGAACTTTGTTGGTTTTGATATTTATTTTTATTCTACTGTGGTCTGAGAAGGTGCATGGCAATATTTCAGTCTTAGGGAATTTGTTTATGCTTGATTTATGGCCGAAGGTGTGGTCAATCTTAGAGTACATTCCAGTAATAAGTAGAATGAGTAGAATGTATATTGCATGATTGTTGGGTGGAGTGTTCTTTAGGTGCCAGTTAAGTCCATCTGGTCAAGTGTCATGCTGGGATTCCAGATCTCCTTGTTGATTTTTTGTCTTGGTGATCTGTCTAGGTTGTTAGTGGGGTATTTAAGTCCCCAGCTATGATAGTGTTAGAGTCAATATCTTTTATTAGTTTACCTAAAAGCTGCAGCTATGTTGGGTGCATATATATTTAGAATGAACCTTTTATCATTATGTAGTGACCTTCCATATCTTATAAAATTTTTGATAGCTTAAAGAGTATATTTTCCTGATGTTAAGATCATGGCTTCTGTTCTCTTTTGTGTTCCATTCTGAAATTTTGTTTTCTATCCTCTTTGAGTCTATGAGTGTCCTTTCTGGTGACATGAGTCTCTTGGAGACAATATAGTGTCACATCATGATATTTTATCCTATTTGCCATTCTATGTCTTTTCAGTAGTTCACTTTCAGGCTAATTATTGAGATGTGAGAGTTGATCCCTGTCATGAAGTTCTTATAGAGTTTGTTTTGTTGCTGCTGTTTGTTTATTTGTGTGTTGTCTTTCTTTTGATTTTGGGTTTGATTTATGTGTGTTTTCCATTTTTTCCCTGCATTTTTAGGAAGGTTGTTCTTTTTTTCTTTCTTCTGTGTTTAATAGTTTCTTAAGTGTTTCTTGTAGAGCTGGTTTGGAGGCAGCGTAAACTCTTAGGTATTGAATGTCTGGGAAGGATTTTAATTCTCCATCACTGATGAAACTTAGCTGGGTAGGTAATTCTTGGTTGAAATTGCTTATTTTTGAGAACTTTGAAGTCTGGACTTCTATCTTTCCTAGCCTGACATGTTTCTGTAGGTAAATCTGCTGCTATTCTAATTGGTCTTCCTCCATAGGTAGTCCCACCTTTCTCTCTTGCTGCCTTTAGGATTTTTTCTTTTATATTTACTTTGTATAGGCGAATTACTGTGTGTCTAGGAGTTGGTCTTCTCATTTGTTGTCTTGCAGGGGTTCTTTGAATCTCTTGTGCTTGAATGGTCGCATCACTGCTGAGATGAGGGACGTTTTCTTGGATAACTTTATGAATGTTTGTTTCGGGGTGGTCTCTGTCCCTCTATCTGCCTCAGGGATTCCAATTAATTTTAGGTTAGGCCTCTTGAGATAATTGCTCATCTCTTGGAGGTTTTGTTCTGTCTTTTTAAGCTTCTTTTCTGTGTTTTTAACAGTTTGGGTTAGTTTCAAATTTTGGTCCTCAAGCTCTAAGATTCTTTCTTCTGCTTGATTAATTCTGCTTTCCATGCTTATCAGTTTGTTCTTTATTTCAACAATGAGAATTTTTTTTTAACTTTTTAGTTTTAAATGATTACAGATTAGCAGGAAATTGCAAAATAAAAGTACAGGTAGCTTTCCTCCGATGCTAAGATTTTATATAACCACAGTAAAATATCAAAATGAGAAAAGTCAGTGAAATGTTAAAAAAAAAACTAAGAGGCAAAAATCGTTGGAAATGAAGACAGTTTGTAGGTCATATAAGTTATAATTAGACAAACCATAAGAGAGTCAATAAAATATTTAAAATAAATGAGTTAATATCACCACACAAAAAAGTACAAAAATTAATGATGATCCTTGTAATAGTTAAAAATACAGTGCAAAAATACATTTATAAGTGGTATTGACAGAAGTTACCTTAAAAAACTATGTCTAAGACTTAGCAGAATAAACTTTTAAACATTATTAAGAGATATAAAATGTATATGTTATATTCCTGGATAGATCATCCAGAAGAACAAATTGAGGAAATACCTTACTTTAAAAAAAAAGCCGGGCTTCGTGGCTCAGCCTGTAATCCCGCGCCTTTGGGAGGCTGAGGTGAGTGGATTGCCTGAGCCCGCGGGTTCGAGACCCGCCTGGGCAGCGAGACCTCATCTCTACAATAAATCAAAAAATCAGCTGGGCGTGGTAGCGCATGCCTGTAATTCC